TCTCAGCGAAAAGGTGGCGGAACTCAAACCTGGCCACGCCCCCATCAAACCCTAGGCCCGCCCCTTTAGAAAAAAGATGCAAGTAAAATTTGGGAGGGGCTATTTCCGGTTTGGGAGGGGCTATTTCCGGTGCGGCCGGCCCGGAAAAAGGTGCCGGAACGCCGTTCCGCCGCGTTCCGGCAGAAAAAAAGCCCTGGATTCAAGAGACTTAAGTACAATTTCTGGAAAGATGCACAACGCATCATATCCTCTGTTATCTAGCAGAATGCCTATGTTAAGTGCAGTTTTTCTTTAGGGCAGCAGTAATCTGTTTTCTTAAAAAAACAAAGCAGGAAAAGTTTGTAAGCTGCCCAAAGTTGCTTTGGGTGAGATGAACAGCTATATAAATATTGTAAATAAATTAATAAAAACAAAGCACAGCTTATTTCTGTTGCATTTTGGAGGGCCATTTCTGCATAAAGTCAATAAATGCTAAAGGATATTTTTGCATTCATTAGCAGTTAATCACTATAATACTTTCAAGGTTTGTTCTGACTTTAAAAGGTACATTTAAAGCATTGTGCATGGAAACATACTCTTTCATTTTCTTTTCTGATGGCTCTGAGCCTGGATCAAATATTCCTTTAGGAAGGTGCTGAATTAGTCCAATCCTTTGAGCTATCCGGATTTGCTCCTCTTCTGTTAGTTGTGTGGCAAGACGTGCCTGGCTAGGCGTTGGATGATACACTGGAATTGCAGTGTGATCCTAGAAAGTCAGACAACAGTGTGACTGAACATTTACTATTCTCATAAGTAGCTTGTTACATGGATTCATAATTACACATCATAATACAAGCAACAATTCCCTTTTCTCTCAGATTGCTAGAAATTTAAAAATACTCACTCCTTTAACATGCTCCCACTCTAACAAATGAAAACAATCCAGAGAAATCCTACACTGACACATACAGCTATTTATCGTTTTGACACAAGAGGGCTGGACTGTAAGATAATATTGTGGTATGCCAGATGGGCTAAAATAAGTTTTCTAATGAGCGTCTGAAGCTTTTCTACAGGATCAGTCAGCTGTTTCAAATGTCACAGAAGCTCCTTTTTTTCTATAGTACACACATCTGTTATGAACCATGCAAGCCATTAATTCACCACTAATGAGTGGATCCCCTACTTATTTTCTAGTCTTGCATTTAGAGCAAACATTTTGATTTTATTAGTATACAAAGATAATTTCCCAATTTCTTTCCGGTATTAATAAGTGCATTTCTCCTGAATCACTTTATTTTGAACTTATGAGGCAAATTAGGTAACAAACATGCACAAATTTTTCTGTATCGTACACAGAAATCCTAAGTAGCACTGCTCCATTCAAAATTTCAGGAGGACACAAGAATTACAATGCTGGTTGAAGTCAACATTCAGCTTAATTTTGTAGTTTGTCCAATAATTACTAATTAAAATTTACAAAGTAAGAATATCAGAAGCAACTATACACTAGCAGTCAACATGTGGTACATGTAACTTGATGTCTTCTCAACATATGGGAACATAGCTTCCACAAATACTAGTCAGCATGGCTTGGGGAATAATGGGAGACATAGCCTAATAATTATGGAAGGTAACAAGCTGGAAAAGGCTGACATACACAACCGCTGCATTTGAACCCCTGGGGATCATAAAATGTTATTTATTTATTTATTTTTTAAAAAAGCAATCTATGCTGTACAATTATGCAGTAATGAATTCCATAGAGCTGGCTTGGTTTTGGTCTTTTTAAACATCAGTCTTTATTAATCTCTGCCTATTTATTTCAGCTGAATGTTGAATTGTCCTTGTAAATCCTTACTCACATGTACAGTCTCTTTTTAAACATCCACCATAAACAATGTAAAGGGAGTTATTGCTTTATTCCACTCCCTGCTACTTACTGCACAAATTGTTCATGCCTTGCTTAAAGAGGATAGTTAGTTTTTGGCATAGGATGTTATATGAACATGACCCATAATTAAATGCATGGTTCAGTCTATTGTATGAATCCAGTCAATTGAGTAAGCTGTGAATCAGGTAACCATGAATTAACATGTACTGTAACCCAGTACATTGTAGGGGGCCACGTCATCGCAGTAGGTCTGTGAAAGCTTGAAGAAATGTTATGATTTAAATCTTAAGTCTTGGTGGTCCATGGTCATGGTCTGTGGCCACAAAAGGTATTTAAAGGAAGTCTGTGGTGAAGAAAAGGTTGAGAACCACTGTTGTAGCCAATTTCAGTCAGGTCTGTAGTAACACATAAAACTACTCTCTATTTCTCAGTCTTCCCTGTCTTTTCTTCCTCTATAAAACAGCAACTCCCCTTTGGAAAAAAAGTAGCCTGCACGTGCAACAGCTTGTGAAAAGGTAAAAGAAAAATGTAATTGCTCTAAAATCTCTTGTGTTCTCAACCACAAGTAATAGAAATCAGAGGCAGCTGAGACAACTATTCAAAGAGTGACACCAATCAATGTATGCTAGGTAATCTCTGGACAGATATAGTGGCACATGAAATCTAAAGGATTTGTTTTCTAACCATTCAGAAAGAACAGGGTATGCATATTTAACAAAAATAGGCTGGAAGCTTAACACATGCTTCAGATCTTTATTTGCTTTAGCAAACACTCCCTGATTGATAGCGTTTTTGTAGCATGGTTACATTCCAGTTTCCCTCTATCCAATTTAACTTGCAATTCAAATTTGATAGAGATCCTCATCAAAAGCTCTTGGGTAAATTTAGCAATAATGAGATGAGGACTTCCTAACAGCAAGGACAATTAACCAGAACTCTTCAGAAGTTTTAAGTGCTTCATCACTGGAGGTTTTAAAGAAAAGACTGGACAGCCACCTGTCTGAAATGGTATAGGGCAGGGGTGTCAAACTGCCGGCCTGTGGGCTGGTTGCATCATGCAGAGACTGCACCAATCCCACCTCCAGCAATGTGGCAATGTGGCGAGTTTGACACCCAGGGTATAGGGTCTCCTGCTTGAGCAGGGGGTTAGGCTAGAAGAGCTCCAAGGTCCCTTCCAGCTCTTTTCTTATTTATTGACTTCCAAAGAAATAAAAAAGTAGATCCCTCAAGGTCCTGGTAGTTTTAAACTTGTCCATAAATGATCATTATTTAGAGGAGAGGAAATGATGCAGAAATATTCAGGGCATAAAAACTAAAAGGGAAGAAATCCCGAAGAACCTTTTTAAACTAAGTGATTGGGCAGCAAAATGACTAATGTAGTTCACAATTTATCTAAGTATAAATTAATGAACATTAGGGCAAAAAAAATCTAACTTCATATATATGCGGTGCGGGTTGTGATATCTGTAATTAATCAGAAAAAAATGGACAGTTGTCGACTAGTGTTGATTCAGAGTTTGAAGCTATGAAGGAGGTTAAAATTTAGTACTAGGGATCACCATGGAATGGACTGAAAATAAAACTGCCAACATTGTAATACCTTTATACAAATTTATTTCTGGCATACCATGAAGAGTTCTGGTCTGACATTTTGAGATGTATATAATAAAACTAGAAAAAATACATAGTGTAGGTAGGGCTCGACTTACAACCACAACTGAGACCAGAATACCAGGCACAATTCATTATGGTAATAAGTTGAAGCACATTATGGTAATAAGTTGAAGTAATAAGTTGAACCAGATTTGATTTTATAAATTTTCTGTGGTGGTTGTTAAATGAACAGAGTGGCAGTAAGTGCAAGCCCATTCTTCCGAATGGGTGTTTTTTTACCAGAAATCTGCAGAAACCAGGAATAATAATTGCAAATCATAGTCATATGACCACAGGCAAGCCTGTGTAATGTGGTCATGTGACCAAAGGGCTGTGGTGGGATGGCACATTTTACAACAGCCAGAAGTGCTTTATGGGCCACAAGGCACCCGCTCCGGGCCCATCATAATTTCAAATAGTTATTAAGCGTCCAGTTGTAAGTTGAGGATTACCTGTAGTCAGAAACTGTTCGCTGGGGGACATTGGGACAGTCATTCTCAACTCAACTTCCCTCACAGGATTGTGGCTATAGTGAATAATACCATAGGAGGTTGGAGCCTTATATATGCTATCTCGAGCTTGTATATGAAAGGCAATGTAGCAATGAAATTAATTTTATAAAATGAGGGGTTCTAACATCTTCCTTGCAAAAAAAAAAGCTAGAACTTTAGGGAGCAATTGAGGATATGACTAAAGCAAATAAAACCACAAATGATAAACAGAAAAACAGAGATTTTTGCCCATTTTTCAAGGTAGCACCATTTGGGAGTGTCTATATGGAGATTCTCAGTCATCCAGGTCATAGTTATCCCAAAGATGCTTTTTTTCAAGAGGCAACTGGACTTTCTTGTTTTTTCTTTGAAGATGTTTCATTTCTCATCCAAGAAGCTTCTTCAGCTCTGAATTGGATGAGAAGTGAAACGTCTTCAAAATAAAAACAAGAAAGTCCAGTTGCCTTGTGAAAAAAGCCTCTTTGAGACACCATTTAGGAGTCATCCAATGCTGCTGACGTGAAAGAGATTTAGACAGAAAAAACAAATATTTCATATAATATATAATTTGTAGAAGGTGACACAACCACTAGCTTGGGTACTTTTTAAAGGGGATTGACTAAATTCATGGAGGACAGTTTTTATGAAAATTCAACATTACATCTGGGGCAGAGGCATCATACCTCCAAATACCATGTATAAGGGAATAATGGTGACAGAAAGGTGTATCTTAATTTGAATGAAATGACCTAATCTGTTCCCATTCTTCCTCATACCCTGGATACCTACATCTCCACATATAATTTTAAGTAAAAAGTTGTCCCTCCATAGATGAAAAAGATTAAATACTTTCACTCAACAAGACAGTAAAGTTAATGGAGCTGTTCCTTTACTTCCCTTCTTCCTCCAAGGCAGATTTTTAATGGTGTTTTATACTTCCACAATATCCCTTTTAGTCCATATACAGCCAGCATGTTGAGTATTTTATGCTGATTATGAGTTGTTTCAGTGCAGACCATTTGATATGTTAACCTAGGTTTGCTAGCAATATATATTGATGCAGTTGCAGTCACGCCTCTCACTTTCATACTTTACATTTTAAACTGTAAAGGGCTTAGTTTTTAGAGCTGAGTCTCCCAGCTCTAAAGAAAAGTCATGAACCAAACTGTTCATGGATTAAGAGACATTTGATTTTTGGTTTTCTCCTACAGAATGTACCCACAGGCACATCTGTTGTCTTTCTTCCTGTCTCGTTCATGATGTTACAGGAAATCCAATAACAGCTTTCTTTTGTAACTTTTCTGTGTTTTGTCTGCAGAAAGTCTGTCGTCCAGCTCGTGGTTGTTCCAAAAGTGCTTTTTTCAAAAGGCAACTGGACTTTGTTTGTCCTTGAAGACGTTTTGCTTCTCATCCAAAACTGAACAGAACTGAAGAAGCTTCTTGGATGAGAAGGGAAACATGTTCAAGGAAAAAAAACAAAGTCCAGTTGCCTTTTGAAAAAGCACCTTTGGGTTTCCTGTGTTTTCTACTTCCTTTTTTCCTTATACATACAATATATTAAAAAATAAAAGACAAAATGATTGCACAATTCCTTTGCTTCATAGTACTTAGTCTGGAAGGGTCCATTACATTCTCTAATAAATTACCCCAACAACTTTCCATTTCCCATTTCTTGTAGTAAGTTAGTGTTTTTCCATAGCTGAATGACAGTTCCTAGTTCTTTATTTAGAATATTGACCATGACTTAGCTTAATTCCATTAATTTATGTTTCATAGGATTTCTTTTTCTGATCGGGAAGAGTAATTACAGGAGTCCAAATATAGATTGGCCTATCCCCACAGCAGCGCAAGTGTTAACAAGGCAATAGTCTTCTCTTCAACCAAGGGAGCTACCACACTGATGGTTTGTAGCACAAAAACAGTATTGTGCAGGTGATATTTTATATTTTTGTCCTTAAAAGGTATTCCATAATAAGGGGGGAAAACAGGAAGTAATGAGAAAACACAGGAAGGTTACAACAAGCAGACGTCATTTTCTGGAGTCTAAATTTTCACAAACAAGGTAGAACAACAACTGCATAAGAAAAGCCTCCTCTAGAGCCACCCCAAGTTTAAAACCATGTTTCCAAGCCATGGTCAATACTGTGCAACAAAGCCGGTCCTCACTAAACGAATTCATCCTTGTAGCGTCTGCGGAATAAGCAGAGGGTCAACACTGCAGCAACATCTGTCCTTATGTCCTACGGTCTAGTTCATGTATGGACCGAGTCAAGTTCTCCATCATGGCTCCGGCCACCCCCAGTCCATCTCGCGTTACTTGCCCCCGAGTCGCGACTTTGCCGAATGTTACCCAAATTCCTCCCTCTCGTCTGCACGCCAGCCCCTCGCGGGCTACTCAAAGCTGGCCACAACTGGCGAGAGCATGGGAGCATCATCAGCCCCAGGGCTTCGTGGCTCCCTTCCCCACCCCACGCGGTACCTGGTAGGGGGGCGGTGGGGCAGGGAGGGTGGGTGGGTCTCCAGGCCCAAGACTCGCCCCATCGCCGGTAGAATCGTTGAGTAGCGACAGATCATCAGCTGTCTGCGAGGAGAGGCAGCCCCCCATGCCCGCCCGCTCCGGGCCACTGCCGGGACCGGCCCGGCCAACCTCCGTCTACCAGCTCTAGAGGGAGGGGGGAGTGGCGGCAGGGGAAGGGGGCCTCGCTTAGCATGACGGGAATTGTAGTTCTCAGCTCCGGGAGTCTGCGCTCGCGCAATACTAAAGAACTCGTTCTCTCGAGGGTGGAGAAGACGGAAGATAGGCGTAGTACTGCTCTGTACTTCGCTTACAGCCTCCTTTCCTTTCAAGCTGATGCTGAATAAGACAGGCACCACCATACAGCAAATAAACTGCTCTTACTGTATGGTGTTAAAATATGTAGCTTTATGCAGTAGTAGTGATAAAGCTACTAAACAGCCCCCATCTCTCTGATTTTTGAGATGTATTACAATATCAAATCAACAGTGGCAATTACTTGCATTATAATTTTTTGCTACCTAAAAGCATTTTCATTCCTGAGATTTAAATAATGCTTCTAATGGGTAACATTTTATCTGGTGGTTGACTAAGAAACTGTAGAGCATCTTCATACATTCCTCACACACTCTTTGTGAAACCATCAATTTGGGCAAATCTCTTGCATGAATTGTTTTCCTGTTTTCTATAACTCTCCTGTCATCCAACACACAACTACTTTGCGATCTTGGTATTGGCTGAGCTTGGTTTTCTTGTGAACGGTTCATAAAGAATCTCTATAACATTGTCAATGCTTTGATGCAAGAAGTTTTTGTTGGTATTTTATAAGGGGAAGGTTCTACCTATTTAAATAATTACATTATTGTAGGTTTTAACATTAAGATTATTTTTTAAAAAGGCTATATCCTTCATTGTGCATTTCTCTCCTGTAAATTTTGTGTTCTTCTCTTAGATTGGGCAAGGTTTCTGCCTCCTGAAAGAAGCCATATGGATTTGATGTTATTTCATATATATACCAAGAGAGGAGGGGAACAGTATGCATTCTACCTGTTTAATGTGACTTTAATGAAGTTGGAAAAATTCTGGAGATATTTGTAGTGACTTTTGGACCAAAACTTTCTGGCCCAATTTTTTTTCCGTATCTTACTGTTCTCATTTTGTAGAGTTTTGTTCTTTGAAAATAAAATATGATTTTAACTTTTACGTATAAGTTTATTTCTTAAGGAAGCAAGACCAAATAGTCAAGATTACTAGGCACAATTAAAATGTTAACTGCTAAGAAAGCCTATACACTTTTGCTTTATAATTTTTAAAGCTCCATCTGTTAATCACAGCACAGGTAATACATTCCTGATATAAATAGGATGTAATCTAGGTTACATATGAATATTCTCCAAATTTTATAATTTCAGGTATTTGGCTCCCAGTCCTATAAGAAGACAGTACTTATATCAGCATTTGTGCATTTCCTGAATTTGTGCAACAGGTTAGATTAAAATTAGATTGCTTTGAATGTGTTGTGTGAACCCATGAAACTAAAGTAATTCGTCATGGTGTAATTACAATCACTATTTTTAAAGTGTTCTATCCCTGAGTCATTAACAGAATAAAAATATTTAAACATGAATTACTATCTGTTCACATAGTTTAAACCTATAGTTGCAACAAGTCACAATATAGTAATTGGTTAAAACAGTGGTTCTCAACCTGTGGGTCGGGACCCCATTTGGGGTCAATCGACCATTTCATGGGGGTCGCCAAGCAAGGCTGTCCGCCATTTTTTTTTGTCCATTTTTTTTGTCCGCCATTTTTCCCCCTTTTCCGGCGGGTGCCTTACCTCCCTTGGGCTGGGCCAGCTGGTGGTCGGCCTGCTCCGTCTCTGCCGCTTGCCAGCTACGCCTCAGCCGGCGCAGGGGGCGGAACCACGCATGTGCGGCGCTCCCGGGCAGGGAAAGTCCGCGACTTACGACCAGTTGGGTAGTCCTCGACTTACGACTGGTTTAGTCCTCGACTTACGACCGGTTTAGTCCTCGACTTACGACCGGTTGGGGTCGCGGCATTAAAAAGGTTGAGAACCACTGGGTTAAAACAAGTAATTTGTAGCAATTAAAATGCTGAACAAAATCATTTTGTTTGTAAAGTTCCATTACCTGCTCAGAAAATAGTTGTTGGATACTCACACCAAACTATTTCAAATGTGCGGTCATTGTTGTCAGTACATATATATGTGACAGATAAAAGAAGAGATGTAAGGATAACATACTTACAAATATAAAGTGAGAGTTCAACTTCAGAGAGATAATACTATAAGTCTTCTATCAGCTAGAGACATCTATTATGTCTCTCCAGACCATTCCCACTGTGATATTTTTTGTACCCAATTCTTTAATCTTTTGATTATCAATATTAATTACAGATATTCCATAGTATACATTAAATGCTTCTTTTCCATAGAGATACACTTGTTGTTAAATCAATACAGAAACAAAAACATGAAAACACGCTGCTTTACTTTAGAGAAGTCTGTCTCATTCCTCTGGTTTTCCCTATGGGACTGCAGATCTAAAGAATACAATATATTGTAGCATTAATAGGAAGTACTTGGGCACAATCTTCCACAGCTTTTTAACCTTTCTTATGATGACAGATTCTGAAAGTCTTGTAACTTGCTACTTCAAGCACAGAGTATTTTGTGATGAAATGGTGCCCATGGCATGCTGAACCAAAAATTAGGTACTAACATACAGGATATTAAATTCTCATAATATTCTAGATCAGCAGTCCCCAACCTTTATGGCTTGGCGGCCTGGCAGGGGAAAAGAGGCCGCTAGACCACTACTTGGTCATGGCCTGTTTGGAACCCGGCCACACGAGTGGCATGCTGGCAAGCGCACAGCTCAACTAGCATGTGTGGCGGGCCAGTACGCACTCAGGCAGCACAACTAGCACCTGAACTGCGCACGTCGCTAGTCAAATGTGCACATGCGCCAGCTTGCTACTAGCACAACCCAGTTCCAAACAGTGGCCCGGGGGTTGGGGACTTCTGTTGTAGATTTATGTTTTTGTGAGAATTCAGACTGCCAAATTTGTCATAGCAGAATTCCTTCTGCTCCTTATGTGAGGAGCCCTGACAAGCATATTATTGGTGCTTGTTTGAGAGGGACTGAGTAAACAATAGTTAAAATATGTGTTAACATGTATGAGCAACAAAGATGATTAGGGGACTGGAGGCTAAAACATATAAGGAACGGTTGCTAGAATTGGGTATGTCTAGTTTAACGAAGAGAAGGACGAGGGGGGACATGATAGCAGTGTTCCAATATCTCAGGGGCTGCCACAAAGAAGAGGGAGTCAAGCTATTCTCCAAAGCGCCTGAAGGCAGGACGAGAAGCAACGGATGGAAACTGATCAAGGAGAGAAGCAACTTAGAACTAAGGAGAAACTTCCTGAC